ATGAGCATCCTTTAAGATGATACCAACAACTCCATATGCCAACAAATTGACGAGCACCTGATTCCACCACGTCATGACGTCATGACGCTAATATGCATTTGATCAGTCGAATAATTGTACCAATATTGTAGCTTTTTTTCCAAACCATGAAAGAAAAATCAGGTGGCCCCGATTCGATTTAATGAATTAGAAAGGCAGTGTGCGCTGAGTATTAACTGCCCTGTTGATTCAAAGGGGGAGAGAAAGTGGAAGAAAGGAAGAGAATATGGGAAAGAGGCATTTAGGGAGACCCTAGAGAGAGAGAGAGAGAGAGAGAGAGAGAGAGAGAGAGAGAGAGAGAGAGAGAGAGAGAGAGAGAGAGAGAGAGAGAAACAGAAGCAGAGCAAGAAAGAGCAAGAACAAAAAAGAAAAAAGAAAAACTTTGATTAAGTTCCAAGCGGTACACGCGGTACATAAACAAGAAGCAATATGAAACAGTTTATAACTGCAGCTGCAAGCAAAGTCTAACATTGTGACCCACCCCAGTCTATCCAGCCAACACCTTCATTATCAGACCGGCGTGGTGCCTGCAATCATTAACCTCTATCTTTTGTTAAAATATTCTTCAGTTCGGAGAGTTGCTTTATCTACCTACGCAACTCTTGCACAGCTAGGCTGAGGGTTACATACCACTAAATGACTGTGTAGCAGGTTTTAAAAAAAATCCTTTGCCCATTTATATGAGATTGACGCCATCTGATCAATAGTAAAAAGGGTGTATGATAGTGTCCAATAGAGTATTACGTGCACTGTTATAGATAGATATTGAAGGATTATAGATGTAAGTAATTGATCTGAGAGTTATGTTGATTGTAGAAATAATGGTGGTGATGAGTGATGATGTGGGAATGTGTTTAAATAATGTTAGAGTTAGTCTTATCTTGTTTCTGTAATAATTGTGAGGCAGCGTGGTAGAATCAGGCTCTCGTCAATTTTAGGGCATGTCGAGTTATTGGTATCATCTTAAAGTTTGTTCGCTCGTCTTTATTTGTATGAAAAAAATATCCATTTATCTTGAATACAAGTCGAGATATTTGTGAATGAAGGAGGTGGGGGTCACCTATTTTCAGAGGCCAAATTAGTGAGAAAATGGCCGCCAAAGATTAGTTATTTCTTTAGCTTAAAAGTCCTTGGTAACTGAAAATTTACATTTTGTGTGCCTTTAAACTACGTTTTTCAGAAAAATCCACACAAAAATGAGTTATTTATTGGGCATGAAAGGTGTGGAGCCAAAAAAACAACAAAAATGTTATTAAAATTCACAAACCGGCGGAAAAACGCAGGTTTCTTCATTTTGATTATTTTGACGAGAGCCTGATTCCACCACGCTGCCTCACAATTGTTCCTTTCTCCGTAACCTGTCAGGCGTTGGAAGTATACAGTGTTTGACTCCCTCTTGGAAGACCCTCATAAGAGTATTTCTATTTTAAGAAGTAACGAAAACATATGTCTAGTCGAAATTGTCCAAGGATGTCTAACATTTTGACAAATCTTTCTTTGTCTCCTAACAATAATAAGACTGGCAAAATCTGGCATTGTTTTAGCTCAAACACTGGCATACTGACAACATCTTTCTCTCTCTTCAAACACTGGCATACTGACAATTAGATCTTTCTTTCTCTTCAAACACTGATATACTGACAAAATCTTTCTCTCTCTTCAAACACTGATATACTGACAATTAGATCTTTCCTTCTCTTCAAACACTGATGTACTGACAATTAGATCTGTCTCTCTCTTCAAACACTGATACACTAACCAAATCTTTCTGTCTTCAAACACTGACATACTGACAAAATCTTTCTCTGTCTTTAACTGTCACAAATGGACAAAACTTCAATGAGAATGGGCACCTGGATATAGACGGCGAAAGATCCTGTCAATTCTGTCCTGACCTAAAAATGTCCCGGCCACAATGCGCCCAATAACTTTTCCTAATGACCATGTCCCTGTAGCATGTAGCTCAATTAGTTAACGCTACTAGTAGAAAGATTCCCATTGCACACTGCTCCAATAGGTGTCAGATAGATCCCCATAGCATACGGCTCCAATAATTCAGATACACCCCTTTCGCATACAGCTCCAATAGATATAAGATAGATCCCTTTAACATACAGCCCCCAATAGATCTAAGATAGATCTCTTTAGCATAACGTCAACAGTTGTCAAATAGACCCCTTTTATAGCGTACAGTTTCAAAATACTTGTAGCCAGAGAAAACCCTAAAGCGCGAATAATTTTATCGTAGATAGATATAAGCCTATAGCTCCAATAATGTTTGATAGATGAAATCTTATAGCTCCAGTAACTATCACCAGATAGTGCCCTATAGCTCCGTAATTGTAACCAGATAGAACCCTATAACGCCAATAATGTAGATAGATATAAGCCAATAGAGCCTATCTCCAATAATGTTTGGTAGATAGAGCCCTCTAGCTCCAATACCTGTAGGTAGATAGAACCGTCTAGAACCGACAAGTGTTGCTCGCTATTGATCTTACCGCGGCGGCAATCGTGTCCTCAGTATACCGGAGACCGCTAGCGAGTCACTCATGTGGCAGACGTTGGGCGGCGGGGGCCTTAACTCCTCTAAGGTACGGGGACTTGTCAGTGCAAGGGTACAGGGTGTGCAGAAAGGTTGGGAGTAGCAATACAGGTGTGTGGTCGTGAGAGGGTTAATGAGGTATGTTGTTGCCGGCTGCCCGCTAATCTTTGAACCTTTAATGTGTGTGTGTGTGTGTGTGTGTGTGTGTGTGTGTGTGTGTGTGTGTGTGTGTGA